CCTGTTTGCTTCAGTGCATGGCTGCCAGCCGCCATCTTGGCTGACAGTTAATTTGCATAAGGATATGCTGATTAGCCAATGGGAAGGGTAGCGGTCGTACGCTAATTACCATGTTTCTCTTTTATTAGTGTAGATTACTGGCTGCTCTGCTTGAGGACAGTGATTGGCTCTGCTTGGTCCTTGGTCAGGGCTTGGCATGCAGTCAGGGCAAACACAGACCCACAGATATCAGTGGAGAGACACAAGGACATCCACTTGATTCTGTAGGCAGAATTCTCTTTTTAAAAAATATTTTTTAAATTGATTTCAGAGAGGAAGGGAGAGGGAGAGGGAGCTAGAAATATCAATGATGAGACAAAATCATTGATCGGCTGCTTCCTGCACACCCCCTACTGGGGATCGAGCCTGCAACCCAGGCCTGTGCCCCTGACTGGATTCGAACCTGGGACCCTTCAGCCACAGGCCAATGCTCTATTCAGTGAGCCAAACCGGCTAGGGCCACAATGCTCTTTTTAAACATCACATCACTCACTCCCCTGCCTAAAACTCTCTACCCCATCAGTATCTACTAAAATAATTTTGAAAAGCACATAATCTATGACCTACAAAAGCACAATTTCAAATAGTTCAGATTGAAATTTTAATAGAATACAGGGGGAAAAAAGCCTTTCTATGACTTCCCCCTACATTTAGAATAAAATCCACCTCCCTGCCCTGGCCAACAGGCCCTCGCATAATCAGGGTGTTGGCCTGCCTCACCTTGACTCCTCTACTTCCAACCCAAAGTCCAACTGCACAAGGTTATTTTCAACTTTCCCAATGTGGCCAGTTCTCTGTTGTTCCCCATTCCTTGAACACCCTTCCCTCCCTTCTTCCACCTGCCAAATTCCTGCTGATCCTTCGTCTTGGCTTCAATGCCAACTCTTTCAGGAAGCCTACTTGACTCTCCCCTAGCTAAGTCAGTTGCCTCCACTCTGCTACCACTTCCCCTTACACTACTCCCATCACAGCTCCAATCCCCCATTGTAAATGCCTTCTTGCTGGTCTATCTCCCTCCATGAGGGCTTTGTGAATCCTTGGACCCTGCTCAGCTTGTAGAGCTCACCCACCACATGACAGTCACATGCTAAATATCTGCTCCACAGCATTCCAGTGGATGGATGAGCAAACCAGACACACAGGTAGAAAAGGGGGCAGATGGACAGAGGAACTTTGGGTATTGCAGTGGGTGAGCAAATGGGCTCTGGGTAAAGGGCAGACACGCCTTGGCTAGCTTTGAACATTTGGCAAATGGCTTCATGTCATTATCTGTAAAATAAGTTGGTGATGAATAGGATCCCCAAGAAGCTATAGTGAGGGTAGAGAACAGGGCTGGGGGTGGAAGGGTGGGACCTGCAACTCACTAATAGATGGACAGGTGACTCTCCGAGGACAAGAAAAACCCAAAACGCCCAATAAGGCCAGCCCAGCTGCTGGCCTGGGCGTGGGCCTTTGGGTTAGAGGATCCCCTGCCCACCCAGACGACACTCACCGAGACAGTGGAGCTGGGTGTGTTGGTGCCATAGCCAGACGAAGGGAGCGAAGCCAGAGACCAACGGCGTCCGTCCGCCCTGGAATCCAGCCAAGGTGCTCAGAGGCTACCAGGTCCCACCAGTCCCCTCCACTTCTCAGGTTGTGAGAGAAGCCACCGGCCAGGGCCAGGGCAGGGGTTGGGGGCGTATATCTGTGCTCTGAGATTCCCGGAGGCCCTCCAAGTCAAGGAGGTAAAGGGGAAGTCTTCTAGTCAGGCACCAGTCTCCTCTGCTCCTTCCCATAATCCTCCTCTCCTGCCATACTCAGGCCACACTGGTCCCCAGCAAGGATCCCAAGGAGGACCAGAACAGCCCACTCAAAGAAGTTACCCCAGTGGACCCCAAAAATCAACCCTAGAGGAACCCCCCATGAGGAAGCTCACAGAAGCAGACCCCTTGGGTCTTCTCAGACACGCACACACTGAGACAGGCTCTCCCATCAGTCACTCTCTCTCCTGGCCACACCCACTAGTGTTAGTGTGACTAGTGCTCATGGACTGAGTCACACACATTCACAGGTGAACCATACCTGGACCCAAATATCACACTTTTCCACCCTAACACAATTGCACTTGAAAAATCAGGCATCCAGCCACATATACACACAGACACTTACAAAAACCCCAATACTTGCATTCTAATACACACACAGCTACACACTCCCTCACACACACTCTCTCTACTCTTTCCCATTCACACATACATTCAAGATACCCTCACGCACTGTCACACATTCAAACTCTCACACAGCCACACGCTCATTCACACTCCCACATAGATTACGCACTCACATGGAGACACACAGGGAGGTGTGTATACCCTCACACATTCACAAACATTGACAACCCTACAGGTACACACCCACATTCACACTCACACACATTCACGCTCACATGCTGATACACACTCCCCATGGACACATGTGTAGGCACAAGCTGCTTCACATATTCACAACCTCACAAACTTACACTCCCACACATTGGCATACATCGAGGGCACAGTCACAAGGACACACTCCCGCACACTGGACTCCTCCCTCCTTCCAGGCACTGCCCTGCTCAGCCCACCCTCCGTGCAGGTGACCACATTAGGCCCAATCTTGGAGCCATTTTCTGGTTTTCATTCCTCCACTCTCCCCAGGGAAAGGCCCTCTGTCCTCACAGTCTCCTGTGACTCCCACCACAGTCTTCACCAGCCTTTGCAGTAATCCTGGTTCTCTGGCCGGCCACCCCAACTCAACTCTGCGGACAGAGGGGGTGTCGTTCCCCTATGCTCACCTCCCAGAACACAGCATGTGTTCGGACAACGCTTTTAGAATGAGTCAAGTTCAAAGAAAAAGAGACCCCTCCACACACACTGGCGACTCCCAGAAGTTTCTCTCCCAAATATTCAAGGAATCTCTCGGCCTCCGCCAATTTTGCCAGAGGCCCCAGAAAATGCATTTAGAGACACTCCAGAAACACGCAGACACCCCCTCCCTAGAGGGAAACCTGAGATTCCTCCCCTTGGGCGCTCAAGAAGTAGCCCCAGGCGCCCTCCCCCACAATGGGCATCCAGAGTTCCTAGAAGGGCACCGCGGAGTCTGCGCTTGCGCACTTCCTCTCTGTTGTCCCCCGTCCTGTTGCTATGGAAACACCTGGCCAGGAGCGCTGGGCGCGAGGCGGACCCAGGGCTTCCGCTGCTCAGCGAAGGAAACCCGCTCCCGCCCCGGATTTCGCACAGGCGGTTGGCCCCACCCCCTTATAGGCCCCGCCCCCCAGTCTGGGCGCTGGTTCCCGCGGGAACCTTGGGGCACTCAGCGGAGCCCTCCGGTCCTGACTCAGGCCCAATTAGGAAGGGAACAGATGGCAGCCCAGACGGTGGGTGGAGAGGGTCCGACAGGGTTCTGGGGCCCAGCAGACAGGGACTCACCTTCGGGAAGAGGCAAACGAGAAGTGGGCGGGGGTGTTGGGGGAGAAGTTGCGGGGGCTATCCAGGGGACTGCTACCTGTGTCGGAAAGAGGGGGGTCTTCAGGCTGGGCTGGTGGCAACCCCATCAGACTCCCTGATCCCCAAAGCGGCTGCAAGCTGCAGCTATTCCCTCTTTAGCCTAGTCCCAGAGGGAGTGGGCCACGCCCCCTTCGCTGTGGCCCCGCCTTCCGAAGGTGTTTTGGATACGGAGTTAGCCCAGCCCCTTCAGGTCGATACTGCCTTCCTCTGCCATAGCCACGCCCCTCAGGTATGGACCCTTCATTCTGCCAGCCACTGCGGACTGACCACGCTATCCTCTGTCCAGACTCCGCCCTCCCTCCTGCGGCATGGACACACCCCTCTCCTGTGGCCACGCCTCCTCCAGTCTGGTCCACACCCACCACCTGTCTCACCCAAGTGTCCAGGCAGTGGGGAGTGGGGTCGCGGCAGCGTGGGCGACGTGCTGGTCAGGATGAGGCTTTTCCGGTTACTGGTACGGCAGCTGCAGGGAAGGAGAGGCAAAGGTGCCAGGCCGCAGCCCAGGGAGTTTGTGAGCCCAACCAGCCGCCCTCCCATTCTGGGAAGGGCCCCCAGAAAACTGCTCAGAGGAGGAGACAGTCAAGGAGGATACAAGATTGAATGGAGGGGATGCAGCTGGGACGTGTATGTGAAAGACATCCCGTGGGAGCCATGTGTGACCATGTGGGGTATAGTTTCCATCACGGAGTGACAGTCATGTTGTCTGTGTGACACTGTTGGAGACACCGAGTGTCTGTATGTCTAGGTCTGTGCGAGACATGTGGCAGGCACCCAGTGTGTGAGTTCAGCACTGGGCACATCCACACTAGTGTGGCATCACGTGTGACGGTCCTTGTGTTTGACTTGTGTGATACAACCTGTACTTTTGTGTGTCTATATGACCCAATGTGTGATGTCACTGGTGCATGATGGATATGCCAGTGTGTGCTGTAAATCTGTGTGATGCATGATTTCTGCTCCAGCTGTGTCTACGTCTTTATGCGGCAAAGTCTGTATGAGATGCTGTCCTTGTGTCTGCATGTGACATTCACCGTGAGTGTCCATGAGTGGCATTTACTGTGTGTAGGTTTAACACCCTGTGACGCTGGGCATGTCTGAGCATGCGATTGTGTGTGACAATCCCTGTATGAGTCTTGCACGTGATAATGTGCAATATTATGTATTTCATGCTCTGCAAGAGAACCTGTGTCCATTTGTTCTGGCATCCGTGTGACATAGCATGCGACATGCTTAGATGATACCATGTGTTGTAACACTGCATGCATGGATGTCATTGCCACGTGTGTGTGTGCATCTCTGGTAGCAAAATCATGTGTGTTACAGGTAACCATACAGGTAACATCTTATTGGGTGTACAAAATAGTGTACCTGTGGGTTTATTTGTTATTGTGTGACATTGGGGGTGACCCCGTGGGTTTGTACAGGTCTCTGACCTATAGCCACTGTCTGGCTGGGTATGCGTGGCGCTCCCCGGATGTATCTGGGCCACTAGGGCTGTTGTGTGTGTATATGTGTGTGTGACTTCATGTCCTACGTGACGCTGTGTGTCACTATTTTCTGTCTGAGGCTGTGTTGGGGGGGAGTGTGTGCTATGGTAAAAATACCCCCCTCCTTTCTGCCCTTCAGGATTCAAGCTTCCGAGGAGGGAGCCCCCAGCCCCTAAAT